TACCACAAGCGAGGCCTGGAATTTTTGAGTAACTGACACTGATCATGTAAACCGCAACACATACCTCCAGATGATTGCCCAAAGATGGTGATCTTTTCAGGATCGCCGCCAAAGTGTTCAATGTTATCTCGTACCCATTCAATGGCTAGACGCTGATCCCTCAGACCCGCATTCTCTGAGCCTTCGGCTTCAAGAGCGTCGGACTGGGCAAAGCCGAAAACTTGTATCTGAGTAAGGTTGTCTTCTTCCAAAGACAAGAAGCTTGGAAACTTACATCCTAGCCGATAGTTCATAGCCACATGGATCATGGGCAGTCCATTCTTCACAGACTCGAGAATCATACCATCCGGAGCTGTGGTGATTTCTCCGTTCTGTCCCGTCCAGAAGCTCCCTCCGTGGATCCATACCATGACGGGGAGCTTCGCTTCAGCGCAGACGCCTTTTGGCCGAGCCACGTTCAAGTTCAAACAGTCCTCTGAGACCTCGGTGACATTGCTCAAGCTGATTGGTAAAAACCATGGTCCTAATGCCTGAGGACAGGCCGGACCATACGAATGGCCTGGAATTGTGGTTCCTGGGCTCGGGATGTGTGGTATCGGCGGTTTAAATCGATTCATGCCGCCAGTGTCCTCAGCATATGGGATGTTCAAGAAAATCTCAATGCCATTGCGGTTCAGTCCCTTGTACGTCACTCCATGCCCCGCGTCCACGACAGTTGGAGAAGCAATGGCAGCGCTGTTGCACAGCGCCACTGTGAGAAGTTGAATCGCTCTCATTGCAAGACAATGCAAGAAGACTGTCACAATTGAGATGACCTTGGGCAACTGGGCGATCTTCAGATTTTATTCTACAGAAGACGTAAGCACCGAGGACTCCGTGGGGCTGCAAATCCTTCACGAATATGGAAGCGAACTGTCCATCCCCACCCTTGGCGATGCTCAATCTCAGGCCAGCCCTGCAGGCCAGGTAATGTTAGGTGGTCGTACGGAAGGATCACCCTGCAGCTAAACCCGACAAATTGGCATCCTATAAGATTAGTCAGACAAAAGCTGTGAGAAAAAGCAATTTCTCCTCCCCCCGCAAGTCTTTAGGCAATGGTCTAAGTTTTACTGCTAATTTTGAAGGCATAATTGAACACGGGGCAAGGTCTGCCTTCTGAACGACTGATCACTTCTTCAAACCACAAAGCCTCTCAAACTGCTTAAGGCCCCTTCTAGGTAGTTTCCTATCAATATAAATATGCCCATAGCCTTGATTCTAGTACGTTACGCCTCTACGTCAGCCTTTCTTGGATTTGTCGATATCTCGACCTCTCTCTATGCTAGTAAGGTATCCTTGTGAAGGGTGTTCTTGTTTTGAAGTTCCAGGTCCTGGTTTATTTCCTGTCCTTGTGATGCTTCTACTCCTAGCCTTTTGCCTCTTCTCATCTCCTGGAATAAGAGAAGTCTGATTACAATTACTGCAAGTATCGCAGCTAGGGCGAAGCCAAATGTGGCAGGAAAGCCGTAGCCTGGCGCATACAATCAGTCAAAAAGTCTTCGCGGCGGTGGACCGTATTATCGACAGTCCTGCATTACGACGTGTACTTACGGAAGGTGGGAGCCATTGTCTGCGGAAAGATGACGATAGGTAGCCAGGCATCAACGGCGTACTGCATACCGTTCATGCTACTGATGACCAGAGCACGCTCTTCGTTATCTCCAGCACAAACTTCGTTGGCCCAGGTATAACTTGCCGCATGTGTAAGTTTCGCTTCTGTCATGATCTTGTTTGATACAGGAAAGAGTATTTGGGCCAGACTTACAAAACAGCGGTAACCAAGTGCAAGCTACTAGTCAAGAATGCGAACTCTTTCAATGGTATGCTTGATGGCCAGACGGCTAAGATGCCGTTCGGCAGAAGTGTGAGAATCTGCTCAACCTTAGACTAGGGTTTACGTCGAAATAGGAGAAAGTTATAGCTCACTAATGGCCCGATAATAAATGCGAATCGACTACCCGTGAAGTCTGACAAGAAGCCCCATAGAACAATGCAGGATGCACTGATGAGTTTCGAACCCGTCGGAATCACATTCCTATCAACAACAGAGAACTTCTCAGATTTCAGCCAGATGCCGAAGTAGCCGTTTGCCTGGCAGGACTCGCCATAGACCTAAAGAGTCAAATGGGCACGCGACTTTCAAATGAGAGGCTCGTGCTTACGATATACGCAAATACAAACGCGTACCAGCGCCATTTGGTAAGGACGCGTTTGATAGTTTGGAAGTTAACTCCGGCAGGCTTGGCTTTGCCTGCTTTTTGAACTCGATCAATTGCCAGCTCGCACTCTCGAGTAGTAAGAAACCGTGACTTCGTTGTATAAGGGGTGTCTGGGAGGATAAGAAAGGTCGCCAATCCCACTGGAACGGTCATACACTAGAGGTATCAATTAATAAAGGGAGTGAAGGGTGTCCCGAGCTCACATTCACGTACGCCACATACGATGTAAAGCCATCGCCATCCGGTTAGGCCATGGACACCGTCTAAGTTTTTGTACACGGCGGCTTGCAAATAACCGCCGAAAGCCGATCCTAGCGGTGCCGTCATATGGAAAATAGCAGTACGCTTTGCGAGTTCTGTCTTTGTATACCAGCTGCCCAGAATGTATAACAGGACTGGGAAAAAAGAGCTTTCGAAGAATCCAACCAGAAAACGAAAAGCATAGAGTTGTCCAACATTGTGGGTCCCTGCCTGCGCGAAAGTAAAGATACCCTGATATTCTAGCATTTAGCATGTCTCATCAAAAGGACGAGAGATGGGAGTAGCATCGAGATGAGCTTACCCAGGCCGCTTCCGAGAAAGCAAGCCACAAACTTGGCCGAATCTTTTGCACAATAAGTGTGCTTGGAATTTGCATCACGGCGTACGCACATGTGTACGCTGTTTGAGCATAGGTATATTCGTTCCCATACATACCAAGGTCCTCCTGCATTCCAGATACATAGGCATTGGCAAGGTTTCCTTGATCAAGATACTTCATAAAAAACCAAGACAACCGATTGTCAGAATCGACCAATCCAATTTTCGAAGCAACTTTCGTTCTTCTGGAGATTTTAGGTGTGTGTCTGTATCCCAAATAAAAGATCGAAAAGACCGTTTAGGAGAAGGGTTTTGAACTCGGCTAGTTTCCATTATCACCGAGATATTTTTCTGGTTTGAAGTCTATGATATGGTCTGAACGAAATTGTTTACTGAGAAATGCAAAGCTCTTAGTTGGTCGTGACGGAACGGGTTGTCAAGTCTTGAAAATTTTACTGAGGGGCAACTCGACTATGCTCCATGTGATTCGCATCTCCGCGGTGGGGGTTACGATATGTTCGGTTTGCACATACTTGACTAGAATTGGATAATAGCCAGTGAGTCGGTCAAGGCGCGAGAGACTGGGGGTATGACGAGCTCCCCCCCACCACTTTCTATCACTCGTATCCCTATGATGGTATCCTATCAGCAGTATTACTACACGTGAAACTTATCTTCATACTACATGGTGCTTTTATTTCAAGATCAAGAAGCAATTAAGTGGGATCAATCTTCATAATTGACAACTGTCGAAAATATTAGGATATCTCTCGAAGTGGATTTGCTCAAACCCAGCTCTACCATTCTGCAATGTCTAATTGCAGTCGTGAATCGTCGCAAGTGACTAATATTTGTTTGTCTTTATCGTCGAAGGTATTTGAAAAACTTTAGCTGTGAATCCGTTTCAGTCCGGTAAATACACCTCGTACGTGGCTACTATTAGAGCTAGGCAATGACGAACACAATCAGACCAACAGTTTGCCGTTCTAGAAAGGTTACCATGTAATCATGGCGTATATACTCGCACTATTTTTATCCGACGTAATACTAACTTAGAATGTTATCTTGGTTCTCACTGGAGACATCTGCTGAATGGGACAGCTACGATACCCTGCTTAGATAGGATGGCAAGACTACAGTCCGCATATCCGATAAAGCCATTACATGAATTCAAGCAAATCTTTGGAATATCTAGCATGCGTCCCACTTGTCCTAGCATTGCTTTCTATTAAAAGCGGTCGTGGAGCGCTGCAGCCTTTTCAAGGAAACGCCGAATGTCGGATGCCGAAGCATCGCGAAAGCAGACATATCGATATGTGATAAATTTATTGCAAGTATCTAAGTCTACTGCAGTTGCTGTGACCTCACTCCCCATGCCTTATGAGGCTAACAAAGACATGTGGGTCTTCTCGGTTCTCTGTTACTGTGCCGAAGCCAGAACTACATGTCGGCATGTCGGCATGTCGGCATTCAACTTCGGCATTGCCTGTTTCCTAAAGAAGATGAAACTATAGCATTCCATACTGATTAATCGGTGGTGATGCCATAAAACCGAGAACATGTGAGTCCGAAGTTGATCAATAGCTGACTGAAAGCTATGGAAGGCCTTTCGAGTTTGGCGCCGAATCGGCTGTTTTCAAGGTAGATGAAAGCTAAACGAGGAACCTTGATATATATATATATATAGACAATAGCTGTCCGATGGGATGTCGTCAAATGTCTCACTAAATCTCTTACAGCAGATGCTTCATTGCCCTTATCACCAGTGAGCTCATATCCCACAAGGTCATCGCGCACAGGGCATTGATTTCAAAGAGGGAGCTTTACCCGAACTTTGACAGGTTTCCGACAGGGATTCAACCTTAAAATTGCGGCTGCCGAATCGGGGTGTGATTTGTTGGATTACACGACAATTGGCGAGATGGAGGATCGCCAATCGTCATTTCCGAAAACGGGGGTGCTTATGCCAATAGCCCACCGTATTCGTTCTCGTACTTCACGATGATGCTCTACAGGTCGAAACACGTGAGGTGTTAATGTTGTGATGATTTATTTACCTTCTCATTCGAGCCGGCGGTTTTCCTTTGCCTAACTTTAATCGTCGGTTTGTTATCCTTCGACAGCCCTTGTGTAAGCTGTGGGACAGGATTGCCCAGTGTGACAATGCACGCGTTACAGCGCGTTCAACAGGCAGCTACTGCCGTTGGCATATTGGGATTGCTCAGCCCGATCGCAGTGGCCGCAAGCTACGTTTGCGACACCATCGCCTCGACAACCAATATTGAGCTCGAGACGCCGTTCACAATCCAATGGACAACTGAACAAAGTCACTACTGGTCCAGCGCGTGCTCTAACCTACACCCTTCCTGTATACTATACCCCGAAACAGCGGATGAGGTCTCGGCTATCGTGCGAGTCTTAAATAACAGCACAGAGAAGTTCGCGATCAAGTCCGGTGGCCACAATCCGAACCTGTACTATTCCAGCATTGAGGGTGGACCCCTTCTCTCCACCGCCAAACTGAATGAGGTGCTGCTCGATCCAACCACACAGACAGTGCGTGTCGGCCCAGGAAATAGGTGGAACGATGTAGCAACGGCACTAGATGGAACCGGCTTCAGCGCTGTTGGTGGCCGACTAGGTGTTGTCGGTGTTGGAGGATATCTACTTGGTGGTGGACTGAGCTTCATGTCCACAGAATACGGATGGGCGACGGATTCAGTCTTAGCGTTCGACGTTGTCTTCGCGAACGGAAGCATTGCCACAGTCACTGCAGACAACCATCCGGATCTGTTCGTGTCAATGCGCGGCGGTGGTAACGCCTTCGGTATCGTCACGGCATTTACACTGCAGGCCTACCCACAGGGCGATGTCTGGGGCGGCAACATTATTTTCTCGTCGGATGAAGGCAGTAATGCCAAAGTCCTCGCGGCGCTGAACAACTTCGCTCTCGACTACCCGGACGAGAAGGCTGCCATCATTGCCACCGCTGAGGTCACTCTGCAAGGTCTGCTTCCTTTATGGGTGGTGTACTTCTACTACAATGCACCAAAACCGCCAGCCGGTGTCTTCGATGAGTTCCTAGCTATTACGGCACTGCTCAACACGTGCAAGACGCGATCGTATGCAGACTTGCTATACACTAATGGCCAGGCCGGTGGTCAAACAGGTGTGGTTCAGCTAGGTAGCGAGATGTCCTCACTTCCACAGGGTCCTGTCGATGGCGTTGGAAACCGGACCACGGCTGGTCTGCACGTTTTCCAGGAGTACTTCGACTACTGGCAGGAAGTGAGCAAAACACTCTTGGTTGTTCCGGGCATTCTTAGCAGTATTGCTTTCCAACCAATTCCTCGAGGCATGGCCCGCATAGCTAAAGAGAAAGGGGGCGATCTTCTTGACCTAGATGACACACTCGATCGTGTCATTTTAGAATTCACTATGAGCTTCACTTTGCAGACTGATACTCCGTACATGGAGTCAAAAATGGAAGAGATGTACGGCGGTATACGGGAGAGGGTCTTGAACTTCACGGAGCAGGGTATTCTGCCGGAGTCATATCTGCCATTGTTCTACAATGATGCGTTTTACGAGCAGGAGTTCAGCGCAAGGCTGAGACCGGAGAACGCAGAACGTGCCCGGACTCTCCGACAAGAGGTTGACCCTGCTGACTTGTTTCTCAACAGGACAGGTGGTTTTAAGCTCTGAATCGAGGCTTTAGATTACTTGGTAGAGCTTATATTAAACGTCCGCTTTTTCAACACGGAGTCATCTCTTATGCCTCGCTATATGGAGCCACAAATACTGTGTGCGACGCACCAAAAGCACAAAGTAAACAGATCTGCAACCAGTTTCCGACGTCCACAGTACCGCACTCGAATATCAAGCACCTAAATACCGTTTCGCGCTTAGTGTATTCAGAATCCGCGATTTCCGTCTATACAACCACTCACGGGGCCGCCCTTTCCAAACATGCTTCGCATATCTCTTACTATGTCTTCTGGGCACTCCCACGCTGCAAAATGGCCCCCTTTCGCGTATTCACTTTCAAAAACGACTGGGCCCAGTGTCTGATTCCACAATTTCGGCAGCAAGATTGAGTCCTTCGCAAACCTTGCGATACCCATGGGCACGTCGACATATCTTTGCGAGGCCATAAATGCACCTGGACTGCTGTGCTCAATCGCGTAATATGCGTAGCCAGGTGCGACTGGACCCGCTGTTGAGAAGTAGTATATGCTCACCCAGGTCAAGATCTCGTCATCGTTCCAAGGGTAGTTATCAGTCCAGTCGTGCATCTTCTCATAAAGCCAAGCAAGTAGTCCGACAGGGCTATCTGTCAGGCTGTAGCCGATAGTCTGCGGTCTAGTAGAAAGCTGCTGATAATAGCCGTTTCCCTGCTTGAAGAAATTGGCAGTGTGCACAAGGCCTGCTTTTTCGAAATCGCTTAAAGGGGTAGTTTGGGCTTTGGCATATATCTCCGGGTGGGACTCCGCTGTCGGTTCGGCTGGTACGGCCGAGTTTGTATGGAAGGCTTTGCAGTGCTTGGGTCCATACCTTGAAGCGATATTTCGACCTATGAGACATCCCATATCACCGGCTTGGACGACTACACAATGCTTAGTAAGATGATTTAACCACGATAGAACATTCTCGCTTACCATATTGCTCGTATCCTATCGCTAGCATCAACTTGTGATATGCTTCTGCATGGTGATCAATTCGGAATCCTTTCTACAAGAAGTGAGAGGAGTATGAAACTATCGGAGAGGGTAAAACTCGCCTTTTTGCTACCCGAGGAGAATCCAAAATCGATCAAGCTAGGCGCTATAACGTGAAACGAGGGTGCCGGGGCTCTACCATTGACAAGAAGTGGTAGAATCTTAGTCACTTCGATGAAGCTACCAGGCCAGCCGTGAAGGAAGAGCAAAGAAATGGCCCCAGTAACGCTGCTCAGCTGGTGAACGAAATGTATCTGATAGCTGCCGAAACCCTCTATGTTGATGCCGGTAGTGAATTGTGGTAACTTATTTAGGGTTTCTTCAGCTTTTCGCCAATCGAATCCTTTGTGCCAATATGCAGCTAATCGCTTGACGTCTGCGAGAGGTGCTCCCCTGGACCACCGGTCACCAAATTCCAAGTCTGAAGTTTCTTCTGGCAAGTCTGTCAATGCAAGTTTTTGGTGCAAGCGTTGGAGCCTCTCCTCAACGATTTTGATTTTGAATGGCTTGATAGGAGGCATCTTGGGTATAAGAGCTTAGCGTAAGTTGAAGAAACGTAAGGGGTTATCGAATGCCTGGATCACTCGTGTCGTTCCTTTATTGTTGCGAAGATGTGCTAAATTTCTTCTTTCCATCTCATAGTACCTTCACGCTTTATATAATGTTCTGACGAATGCCCTATAGCTTGAAACACTTCTCTTGCATCATACTTTTGTGTGTGAACTTGAAGTCAGGCCAAGGCTACCCGGGCAATTTCATTGGCTCTAGCGTAAGAGCGGAACATGCAGCGCACTAACTTCTGCGCCTGGAATCCTTCCTCCCACCCATATCCATTCAGAGAGCATTATGCTGTCTAGTATTTTAGTTATGGCTTGTTTTCTAGCTTCACAAGAGCTGCAACGCAACTATCCATCCACCCAACATACGCTCGAAACACGCTCATTGGTCACCTTGCTTGAACATCCTCCAACTATAGAAGCCATTCCACGGAAAGCCTAGTAGTTATCCCAATCCTCTTGTTCTTTAACATGTTCTTATTTTTCTACGTAGTGTTCTTTCGTAAAGTGCTTGCTCTTCTGATACATCTTCTAGAACAACCTCGTCATCGCAGGATCTGCCGCTGCGCATCTCTGTATTCTATGAACGAGTTGACTTGCGAAGTCAGCTGAAATATTGCGTTGCCAAGTAGATCATAGTTAGTAGAAATGTTTTTGCTGACATTGATAGGAGTACTCTCGGTAGGTGCTGGACTGGTTTTTGCGCGACTGATACATAAATTTTCTAGCATAGCACGTCCGGCCTGGAGATGAACTCCAACCTGGCTATCAAGACCTAAGAGAAACTCGATGAGGCTAAAGACGACGCTGGCTAACACAGCAAGCTCCAAGCTCTGAGGTGATGAAGTAAGCCGGGCGTGAAGTGCTTGGATGGCTAATCCGTATTGGCGAATTGCGAAAGGGGTTACTGAGCACGCTCCCTGTAGGGCAGGATGGTACCGACTGCTGGTGAGGGACCCGATCGCTAGGGCGGCATGATGCAAGGCGGGCTCGGCAAGCGTAGCCTGAAGAATTATGTTCCCCCATACTGGCAGCTCAAAATAGAGAGAGAACTCTCGCACACATACAACTTCGAAGTACTCCATGTGTGCTTGCTCATCGTCTAATAGAGGCTTGGCATAGGGGTGTTGAGCATTGCGAATCGGCGGTGGCACTTTATCCATTGGTGGCGACGAATTAAAATCACATTGCCAATTTGCCTTAATGCATGTTGAACATTGCGGCCTGGCCTCGTCGCATTTCTTCCGCCGGATCCTGCAGCTGGATGAGCAGGAACATTTGACTAGGAACAAGCGATGCCACTTACTTGCACGTCAAACACCCCGTCTTGACTTTACGTACCCCCCTAGCACCATACCGTGACTTTTTCACTTTCGGGAGATAATTGCTTTGTTGGCTCATATCAGAACAGGCTGCTATATTCCTCTACAAGGTGGAAGGACGAGGTTGAATCACGTTTCGGGAGACACGCAGACGAAGGATTCGAGAAGACCAAGGCACGCCATAGCCCTTCATGATTGGCCGAAGCGTAAGTTGAATCACACTAACGTCGAAGTAGTGGGTCCCTTCTCAAACGGGGTTATCAACACTTTGCGGCAGCGTTAAAATCTATAACAAACACTCAATATCATCAAGGTGGAGATCCTCTCACGTGTCAGCAAGCAATTGTACAAAGCTCAACATTTCACTAAAAGTTAGCTTTGTGACACTCTACCTTTCAACAATGATATCTAGGGTTGCCTAGAATGGGTTCTTTGGCCCCAAACCCATTCTGCTGAAGAATTCCTGCAATAGCCTTAGAGTAGCAAGTGATATTCAAGAACCGATGAGCCTTAGTTCTGAGCTGTAGTATTACTGGTTGAAAGACGTCGTAGTGCTATCAACATTTGATGCCGCCACTCACCTCAATTTGGTATCACCCTTAGCAGAAGATTGAGGCTGAATGCGTAGGCTGAGCTTTCTTCTGTACAGCACGAACAACTATAACACAAAACTCACATGATTTGGCTATCGTCAAGCACATGCAAAGACCTTGAGAAACCTATTCCAAAGAGATCAGCTAAAACAACCTAGCAGACAAAAAGCAACTGCGACTCAGGGTTGGGCGACAGACGGCAGAGGTGAAACGTGTTTCGCAGATGCAGATTGACGATCAAGCCACATCGGAGTTGTTGACCCGGAAAGGTGGCTTTGAAGGGCCAAAGAAAATTGTCCTTTCTAAATCGCATTTTCACCATTGGCTATGGCCAAGACACTCGGCAACGGGGCGTCAAGTGAAGGCGTCTCGGTCCATCATCGGAGCAGGGTCTCCACAATTTCCCACCCATGGCGGTTGAAGCGGCCAGCACGGCATCCGGCACGTGGCGGGCAATCTCCGGCAGCCGGGATTTGCAGAGCTTGTCTATGACGCCATGGCTCCGGCCCCGTGACAGCCGCTGTCTTGGCTACTGTTCGTTTTCATGTTCGCTATGCTCTCGTCGACTTCTACTCCGTGTGCATTGCCGGCCGGTTCCAAGGACCCGACACTGCCCCGTCTTATCCCGTGGCAGAAGTGCAGTCATTTTGGCGTATGCATTGCAATTACTCGTGCTCTCCCTCTTCTCTCATCTCACGTAATCGGTTGCGGAGCGCCTCGGCCCCGTAATGTCCCGGGTGCGTGCGGTTTAAAACGGCGGGGAGGAGAAGGTTTATGGAGGGTGGGCGACGATGATCATTCCCGCGACGGGCAACCACAAGAGCACCAATCGAATAGCCCACCGCTAAGTTTCCAGATGGGGGGAGGCGGCACACGCAATCTAAGCTGGGGGCCTGACTGGTGAGGATGCGAGCCGAATGGGCGGTCTAGAGCTCGTGCGCCCAAATTCAAATCGCGCGGATACGCACCTCGCGTTACCTGCTTGGTACGAACGCGATCAACATTGCCCAGCATGTAGCTTATCTGAGAAGCTTAGATCTGGATATGCCGAGCCAGAAGGCATGCAATCCGTCCCGCAGCGCACCAACCTCCTGCCCGAAGAAGCAGCAGCAACATCAAATACCCTAGCAAGATACTTTGTCAAGTGATGCCCCGCCACTCGCTTGCACTGGTTAGACAGCAAAGACGAGCGGCCGACTGGCACAAAGAGCTGTATAGCCCCCGCCAGCAGGCCTAGGAGCTTGACGACGGCCCAGCCGCGTGGTAAGAGTGTAATTATTTTTGGCGTCGCCGATATTGCAACGATATTACGGATGGGGGACGAAAGCTCGAGAATGCTTCTCGGTTGGTGGGATTGTTACTGTGAAAGCACTATCGGGATTGCGGAGGGGGTGGGGTTGGAGTAAACCGGAGGTCCCTGAGTCGTGCCGAAAAGACCCTTGAGCCTTCTTCGTCCGCTGTTCTCGCGCCCCTCCATCCGACACAAGGCTCGACTCGGGAGACATGTCAAGATAC